CAGGATCAGCTAGGAGTGTTAATCAGTTTGTTCTCTCATTCATCACTGTCATAAATCGCGGCACCCTTTCTAACAAAAGATGTAAACAAACTATCCGTCACCTATGTTGTCGGAACCCATTTCTTCCACTGTCTGACAATACACATCTCCATTTAGAATGTTATGTGATTGAAAGTGGCGCGAATTAGCTGTCAATGATTTTACGTTACCTGTCGCAAGCGCGGACCGTGTGATGTGTTCTGTTTTATTTACAAAATCGTTGTCCTAGTTCTTTCATGCTTTTAATTGGTTGGTGTCTGTTTAAGTCAACGAAACGTTTCTGAGCAATGAACATACATTATTATCATACAAGCGTAAGTGCCATACCAGTACATGGTCTGTTCTGCCACAGCTTACGTATCGACAATTACAAAACCAAATATTTGACATTCCTAATTTTTGTAAGAGCTGTATGATATCAAGATCAGGAACATAACTAATGCATTTTCAGAAAAATAAATAAAATTATAGGAAGAAAGCATTAATTCAATTTTAAATTTAGTTTTTCTTCCTTACCAACATGAAATTTTAAAAAAAAAACAAATCTTGTCACAGCTTATCAATGATTTCTTAGATACGTCTCAAAAACAAAACCAACACATTAAAGTATCAATTTATCTATCGAAGGATTATATTAAACCAAATCACTACGCCAAAACATTATCGTAACGTTTCTCTTTCATTGGAAATGTGAGTAAACCTCTTATTATACGATCTTATGGGGATAACGGTATAGACCACGGAACACATACACATTTACTCTTTCAACTGGTAAAAAGGCACGCATTACTATCTTTCACGCTTGTTTCAAACACTTTAATGACTTTTAACTGATTGACGAGCTTTCATAGTTTGTTTGAAAATGATATTTTCCTGTCAGGTGACCTATTCGGGTCACGAACAAATTATTACAGAAGTATATTTTTCCTATTTTATCGTTGAATTTATTTCCTCCAGCCTCACCCTCTGTTATGATTTATATCCTCCTCTCCTAGCAATATGTCCGGTATATGGTGACTATGTTTCACACAAAACACATTGGTAAAAAATATTGAATAATGTAACGCAGAAACGTTCATAAGCAAAACGGAAATAAAACAGATACGACATACATCCATCATCTCCTAGTTGTAATATAAGTTAAAAATAATCCCTCATATATACTAGATATGGTGGAGGTGATTTGTCTGCTGTATTTGTGTGATGTCCACCTAAGGCATTATGTGGCCTGATTGTATCTAACTCTAAATTTGTAGTGATTGTATTTGGTTATATTTTCTGATATATATATTTTTTTATCTGAACATCTTTCACGGCCAAGGTTTAACCAGATCAAAATGACTTGTCATAAAGGACTTTTTATTTTCATGTTTGTCACCTGTTCAATCAGCCGTACAATCATGTATACCGAATGATGGCTTGCCTATTAAGCTATTATCCTTTTACATACATTAAACGGCTACTCATCCGCTCACGAAACGTCTTTCTACTCTGATATTTAATTTGAGTTAATTACTAATAAGTAATAAGCTATCACTCACCACACTTTCAAAATCATTAGTAACTTAAGCAACATGAAAAAGAAGGCAATGACGAGAAACGTTATGATATTCAGGGAAAGGAAGGCAATGACGGGAAACGTTCTGATATTCAGGGAAAGGAAGGCAATGACGGGAAACGTTCTGATATTCTAGGAAAAGACGACAATGACGGGAAACGTTCTGACATTCTAGGAAAAGAAGACAATGGCGGGAAACGTTCTGACATTCTAGAAAAAGAAGACAATGGCGGGAAACGTTCTGATATTCTAGGAAAAAAAGATAATGACGGGAAATGTTCTGATATTCTAGGAAAAGAAGACAATGATGGAAACGTTCTGATATACTGGGAAAAGACGACGATGGCGGGAAACGTTCTGATATACTGGGAAAAAACGACAATGACGGGAAACGTTCTGATATACTGGGAAAAGACGACGATGACGGGAAACGTTCTGATACACTGGGAAAAGACGACAATGACGTTCTGATATACTGGGAAAGGAAGGCAATGACGGGAAACGTTCTGATATGCTGGGAAAAGAAGACAATGACGGGAAACGTTCTGATATACTGGGAAAGGAAGGCAATGAGGGAAACGTTCTGATATACTGGGAAAGGAAGGCAATGACGGGAAACGTTCTGATATACTGGGAAAGGAAGGCAATGACGGGAAACGTTCTGATATACTGGGAAAAGAAGGCAATGACGGGAAACGTTCTGATATACTGGGAAAAGAAGACAATGACGGGAAACGTTCTGATATACTGGGAAAAGAAGGCAATGACGGGAAACGTTCTGATATACTGGGAAAGGAAGGCAATGACGGGAAACGTTCTGATATACTGGGAAAGGAAGGCAATGATGAGAAACGTTCTGATATACTGGGAAAAGAACCTAAAATCAATACAATTGATTGAAATGAAACTGAATGTTTGTTTATCATCATATTGTCTCGGAAATCATGTATTAACATCCGATTGACATTGATGAAAAGCCTCGACAACCTCTAGCTAGCCTAAACTATGAATATCTGTTCATCAGGTACTTATCGGGTTGGTAAAAAAATAATCTCGCTGAACTATGACCAATCAAACTTTTAATAGTCAAATTTCAGTTTTAAGTCATAATCGCCGACTGTCATATCTCAGAAACCCCGTTGAAAGTTTTGGACATACGAAAAGGCATCTATAGTTCGCAAAGGTTAAAAACCCAAAGATTGTTCACGAGTTAAGGAAGATTTGAAAATAAGGATAATCCGAATTCGTTTTGCTATATTTGGTGATTACGTTAATGTCATACGCAATAAAAAAAATCAAGAGAATACTGAAATGGCAACAACATCATTATCCAAACTCCAATTTCACAAAACTAGTGCAAGATATGAACAAAAAATGATTTACACGGAGACTCCTGAAAAAAATACAAAGGGTATAAGATCGATTGTTCTGAAGGAGTAAGCGTTTTCTGCTTCAGCGACAACAAACGCCATGTAAACATTGGTCCATCTAAGTAAGTAATATCACCTACTCAAATGAGGAGCAAGGTATACAACAACGGAACAAACAGGAAAACTAACGAGCATTAAGCACGTCCAGCTTCATATCGCACTAAGAAATAAAATATTTCTCAATGGGATTGCTATGACGACCATAAAACTTCCCAGTGATTTTCATTAAACTGCTTTCAGGTATTTGAACCCCTGATACGTGGATAGTGTTATCCAACTTTCTTTCGCGTGTGGTTTATAGTTGCGAATATGCCATAAATTTGCACAATTTATTCGTATCTACTTACGGCAGAGACAATAAAGAAACGAATAGAGTTTATTGAAGTCTTTGTTAAAAAAAGGCAGTCGACACAGCCGTGTTGTGTAGAGGAAATCGCGAAAATTGATTAGTAGCTGCGAAAGAAAGTTAGTTTATAAAAATATAAAATGCATTACTGACGGGTTTGTCGGTCATTTGACTACTTGCACGAAAATCGTGATAATGGTAACATGCCCAAAGACTGCAGCATTCATTGCATGACAGTAGATATTGAATCATCTAATTAAGTGAAAGGAGACAGATCTGCAAACTTTAAATACATGATAGACAACTGATCTTAAGATACATTTTATTACGAAATATCATTTTTAAAGTTCAAAAGACATACAAGTGAATAGCACCTTTCGACACGCATTGAATGATATATAAAGTACACTTGCTTCGTCCTTCCAGGACTTTTCGATGATGCTACAGGCCACAAATATACAAAATCCAGAGCAGGCATTGGGAAATTTGAAAATCCCCCAATAAAGTAACTGTTTTGATATATAAATTGAGTCGACATTTAAAACATTGTATTTCTTTGAAATAAACTGGAATGTGTACAATAGTATATCGACCTAAATATTTAGGTAAATACTTAGTACTGTTTAGTTGTTCGATCAATCATGTTTCAGCTGGGAAATTGATTATTCAAATTAGCAATATCTGTATAAAGTTGGTCAGTAGCATTTAAATAGTACATCTTTAATAAATAATATATAAATTATAACAAAAAAGAAAAAAAGGAGTTGCAAATTGACAAACAATGAAATGAATAACAAATAATTCTTACTTATGTTTCCATCGCCAAATACATTTAAGCATCCATGTATGGTGTTATCCAAATTTCTTTCGCATGTGGTTTATAATTGCGATTATGCGATAAATTCGCACAATTTCTTCGTTGTTACCTACGACAGAGATGACAAACGAAACGGATACAGGTTATTTAAGAATTCGTTAAAAAAAACAATAGACACAACCATGTTGCGTAGTGGAACGTTGATTAATAGTCGCGAAAGAAAATTGGTTTACGAAAAAGCAAAATGCTTTACTTAAAACAGTGATTGGTAACATAGTCATATTGCGAAAAAGTTATTTGTGTATTTCTGTCTTGTTACATTCCTGTGATTTGATTTTTCTTGTTTCGTTATTGTATACATTGAATAGCTACACACATTTCCTTTTGTTTCGAATGTAATAAGTCAGGAAGCATTGAAATGGTATTTGGCAGCGAAAGTTAAAAGTAAATCTTACACAAAATGGAAATTAATGCAAGATAAAATATATGGAAAATGTGACCAAAAAAAGCACTGACGCATGCCATGGTGTCTAAAATCCCTGCATATTGGCGCCCGATCTATAACCTTCATAGTATTTACAAAATACAATTGCAAATTCTTTCACGTCATTTACCAATACATATATTATAATCGCCTTTAATATATAGGACACAGAAAACAATAAACACACACACACACACACACAACCATACACACACACACACACATATATATATATATATATACATATATATCAGTATGAACAGCATACTTCATAAAGTCTTTCTAAATTTGACACATTATGGTATTCATTATATCTTAATTTATAACTATTTTCCCAACAACATAGCTCCGATGCCACCCAATATGACGCCTTTCACAAGGGACTGTAGACCGTTCTGTTTTTGCTGGGCGGGTGGTGGATGGTGAGGTGGTGGGTGATGAGCATCTACAATCTTCACTATGGCACCGCCACCGTTATGTAAATGAGTGTCATGCTGTGGCGAGTTGTGTGCATTATGAACACCCCCAACTCCTAATAACTGGCCTTTGTTCAAAGCATCATTAACCAAAATCTTCTCTGCTATGTGTTTTTTATTCAGAGCATCATTAATCATAATTGATTCTGTCAAATGTTGATTATTATGCAAAGCGTCGTTAATTAGAATCTTGTCAGCCAGATGATCAGGGTGAAGTGGTACTAGGGGTTCTGGTACAGGAACTACATCCAAACCTCCGGCAATGAGGTTAGCCTGTTTCGCAGCTTTTTTCATTAGTTTTTGTTGTTTTTTAATCTGTCTTCTTGCCTTTCTATCCTGCTTCGCGATTTTTTTATTGATATCTAATGCATCGTTTACTAAAAGTTTCTCTGCGATATGATGACCCGGATGAAGAGGCGAGATTGGAGCCGGTAAACCAATAACGTCATGTGGCACACCAATATCATGTGACACACCAATAACGTCACGTGGTAAACCAATAATGTCGTGTGATGCACCAATAACGTCACGTGGTAAACCAAGACCGTTTGCCGGTTTAGAGCCCTTGCGCAGAAGTCTTTCCTGCTTCCTTATTTGCTTCCTCGCTCTTTTTTCTTGTCTAAATTGTTTCCGGGCTCTGCGCAATCCTTTTTTGATCTGTCTATTTTGTTTTAGGGCTTCTTTTGTTCCTATAGCTTTGTTACGGTTTATGATATCCCTTGTAACAGGATCCATTCCCGGAGGTCGAGCTGCCATTCCTAATGGTGGTAATCCTTGGTGTTCATTCAGCAAAGTATCAAGAGGGCTTAGAGGGCTTAAAAGTGGATCAATAACGCCCGGATTTAACAAATCTGTTGGGATTGGTGCAAAGTCTGTAACTGGCAGTCCGTGTGATAACAGCGGATCTTGCGAGAGTTTACGTCTGGCTTTATTTAGCAGTCGCTTCTGCTTCCTTGGCGAAACACCTCCTAGTAATACATCTGCATATATACCTGTAAAACATAACATATAACATCATGAATTGTTTCAAATGTGCATTATACATAAAATAGGATATTCAAAATTTCAAAATGTTATTATAGTTTTTAATTGTAATTGAGTCTTTAAGCTGAAGTAGCTCTGAGTTTTCAATGCTGTGATCGTTGTCAATTGTTAATGTTATAAGGTGATATTATAACGTGTAAACATTATCATCAATTCAAGTTGTGTGAACGATCGTGTATATTATGATATGTTTTGTGTATCGATTGGTATTGCTAAAGTATGCAATTTGCTGTATGATAACCTTTGATTATGGAGTCTAATTATCTATGTACCATTTAACAAGACTGATATTTATGTAAGTCATAATGGACATGACTTTCAATACTGTGATAAGCCAATGTTGTATATGTTGTGCGACCTTTGTCTTCAACTAGTTAATCTTAACTGTATTAGGCATTGTAAACTGTAGCTACTTTATAGTATTTTTTACTGAAATAAAAAGCAACATTTGAAGATTGGTTTGGAATGTTTATAATGCCAAGTAATGATGTACAAAAATGATAGAACTGCAAGAAATCAGATTGGTCCAATGTAAAAACATAATATATCACATAACTACCGTCTTATCAGTACATTGACATGTTGAATTAATTGTCCTATGGCCAATGAAATTCCTGTGGTTGATGACGTCATATGACGGCATCGAAAAATAAATCAACGTAATGAGCATTCAGGCAATTACGAGGTATCAGTGGGAAAAATACTTTTCTTACAAATGTTTGCAAAATCATCCAGATTATGTGATCAAGAAAAACATTACGGATTCTCATACATACAATTCATAAATCTCTTATGAAATATAAATTTCTGTAAGAACTGAAATGTTTCACATCACACATACAATAAATCAATACTTACATGGTATCATGCAAACTGCAAAAATCGTCCGAATTACTGGTATTATTTTGGTCATGATGAGGTTCTGCAATTAAAAACAAATATTCTTAAAAATATTTTACTACCACTGACTCAAAACCAATCCAAAACAATATATATGCTAAAACATGTTTCAACACATTTATAAACCAGAAACAACAAAGATACTAAGGAAAATCATGGAGACCTCAAAATAGATATCGTTTAACGTTATAATACATCATAGGAATCGGGAATTCGGAAAAGCTGTCCTTTTACAACCCTCAAACATATAGATCATACAATTGAATAGGTCTGCAGACTTTCATCGGGTGTGTCTACAACAATCGATATGTTATTTTGCTGTGAGTTTAATATCACCAGCTAAATATTAGATAGTATTACAAATTACTTTAAAAACACGCCCGAAGACAATATATACACCTAGATTGGTTCCTAACTTGAATGTCAATCAAAAACATATGTCTCAGAGGAATTATACATTACCCAATAACAGTGTTAGCGAATACAGAATGATTGCTTACATGTCCATAAGGAAAATGGTTCATAACGTTTTAAATTCCCGGTTATTATTTGTCTCAGAAATATAGCACCCAATACGACCGAAAACAAATTACTATGTAGACTATTTATTCTGAATGATTACAGCTTAAGGCTGTAATGCCAAATCTTAATGAAAGACTTCATTCAGTAGTCGTCCGCGCTGTCATACAACTCTATTGTAGCGAATATGTATAGATTTACACAGAAATAGTACCGGACGTGTTAGGCTTATGATAATAAAAATAGTGAACCCTTTATATGGCAGTGACTAGAGATGAAACCGATATTACTCCGCACACCTTAAACGTGATAATGTATCATAAACTCTGATTAACGCTATTTTGTGCGGATTACAACCATAATGAAATATAGTATGTTTATATTAAATACATAAGCATTGTCATAAAATGAATATCTTGTACATAAACACGAGAGAGGTTATACAGGACATTGCACTGACTTTCAACTTTAAATATGAATTTGTTTACATAATCCTAACAAATGTTTCTATCCTTATACTGAACCTGAATAGCACTTAAATGTAGTCTTACAGTATCATTACAATATACAGTTATAACGGAATTAATCAAAATTTTATTTACAGTTACAAAATCCCAGTAATCATTTGTTAAATCACAGCCACAAATAGTCGATGAGTTTAGGTACTACATTTGAACCTCTTTAACTCGAATCTTATTACTCGAAGACCCTGTATAATTCAAAGTATTTCGTCGATCCGGGCCAATCTTCACACGAAACATTCGAACTCACTTTAAATCGAATAATTGGATAACTCGAAATTTATCCAAAGTCCCGCCGATTTCGACATAACGAGGTTCGACTGTGTTTGTTAAAAATGAACTAATAATTCTACACATATTAAGTCATTTGATGCTAACGTCACAACGTTCTTTAACTCACCACCAAACTGTACCTACACTATAGATTATGCTGGCGTCAAAATTGTCTATTGTATAATTAAATGTAAAATACTTCAGTGAATATGTCTTTTTCGGTTTCCTATTTCCATATATACAGCTCAACAACAGTTCATTACTAATTGTTGACTATTTTTCTAGTCATCGGATCGTATCCAGTTGTTTTGAATGCAAGCAGTCGTGAAATCTTAGTATATAAAAATACAAAAGATATGGATAGTTAGCCAGATCTTGTTACAACTACGTCATTTTATCTTCTGATATTGATATCGTGTCTATAGCAATCCTAGCACACCTAGTAAACTACATACACCATATAAAATATACGTTTCCTTTAAAATCTACGGATTTATAGTAAATAAAATATGTAATTGTGATTTCAATGTTCAGCGTATCAGTGTATAAGTTGTGATTAGGAAAGACCAACTTACCAGGTTTAATATCCTATGATCTTCAACAACTTTTCATAAGCAAGGGCTGGTTTGTCTATGTTCATGAAAAGTTCTTTCGGGCCTTTATACTATATCTACAGGAAAGTCTATATCCATCATTGGTTCCTTATCGCTGTCTAGTGACGTACAATATCTAAATTCAGCCCCTATTGGTGACCATTGATCATTGGTCAGTAACTGCACGTTCTAATGCGTTGACGTAAATAAGATGTGCTTGACCGCTCTTACGCGTCAATCACCATGTAGACCTATGGCTGAGATCTGACAGTATGTGTTAACAGCAGGTAAAACATTCAGTTCTGATGGACACTGTTGGTCACGTGTAACGATTCTTTCACATTTATTCATGGATATCAGACAAGTGTCCTTGGATTAATGTGGTTAGGACGACCACGTGTCTAACGTCCGGCTCGAAATAACTTTATTGTTTAAATATTGTAGAGTTAAATATAAATACATTCTTTTGTATTTTGATAAGAGAGAAATATGTTTAGAATGTTTTAAAGAATATCTAGAGGAAAAGAAAATAATATATTTCAGAGCTTCGAGTACACAACAAACAAAAGGATAGACAACATGACATGATCCAAGGGTTATACAAATGTACTGCGAGCGCCACCAAGTGGACAGCAATGGAAAAGTATCCCATATCGCAGGTGGCGTTAATCATTATCCGTTTACAATATGTGTCCAGAATTACAAAATAAATTAGCAAACAACAATTAATGTCATGTATTCCACGTGCTCTGCCATCTCATTTCATAAGTTCTTTACGTGTTTTTCCGATTCCACGATGATACAACATTATATGACTATATGAAATATAAAAATAGAAATTTACAACACTCACACCACGTCTGATTGAACAAAATCTATATTTGTGTAATAGATTCTTTTAAAACGTTTGTTAGAAGATATAACCTTGACCCCAATCCTTGGATACATTTCCTTAAACACCTTATAATTGTCCCCGATATTTTCCTCTACCCATGTGTGTTTTGTACTGTTTTCAACTTGTTTTAGACATTATTGATCAATTTGAGGTGTTGAAACGAGTTCCGACAATAGTTCGCAGTTAATACAATTCAAATACCAACATACGTTTTTGATCGCTGAATTCAACAATAAAATGGAGGTGAAAGTAAAAGATATTCCATGCCACCAGCGTGTTAAAAATTGAATTAAATCAAATCAAAAAGTATTGCAAATATGATGACAAAAACGTATTAACACGGAGAACTTTCTGAAATAAGATACACGGACAATAACACTAGATGGGTTTTTTTTTCTGTATGACACCTGTTCTACTGTTATTTTTCCCGATTTATTGGTTTTGAGATTTAAAGATGAATGAAAATTAGAGCTTTTCAAGAACCACTGACTACATCTGAATAACTTTCTTTGTAACGAACTTTGGGACAATATATTACTTTGTTCTAATATTCAATCAAACGGTTTATTTCGAGAAGAGTGTCGTATTTGACGTCAAAATAATTGTTAGGTGTATTTCAAACTTGTTAGCTGGTGCTAAAATTTCCTTAGTCTTCACATCTTAATTACTACTATTATTTTAAACGCCACCTGAACGTTAATCTCAGCTATTCACGGAGTTTAATGACAGAATTATCAGCGATAATTAAAAAACATTATGTTGTATTTGTGAAAATTAAGACGCAAAACTTTGCTTACGCTAAAATTACTATTTATGCAATAATTTTCTGAATCAGTACAAATCATCGAGCCAAGATAGGTTAGCTTCTATATAACGTGTATACAGACCAACATGTTTGTTGTCAGTCGTTTATATCCATTTGTCATGTCATTTGAAACATAAAACGTATCTGGCCATCATGTCACGTATTAACTTTGTCGATATATCCAGGTGTACCCTGCGGCCATGTCAGTGACTTATGATAATAATGTTGATCACATAATAACAGTCGAGTCCAGTCTATCATCCAGTTTTCAACGACCAAAACAAACATTGAAACAAACATTACTAGATTGAAACGTGTCAAGTTTTATATCTGGACTCCGAGTCTGGACTGATTGTCACTGAAACTTGCTTTGTTTATTTTGCACCAGTACTAAAGACATATAGATATATATGAGTATTTTACTTTTGTACAAATACTTTCGAGGATAACAGTCAACCACTTGAGCTATAATAAGTTATGTATCTGTATCAACTGTACAGTACGGGCATTGGTTACTGTCCATTTTTTCGCGTTTTCCGAGTCTGTATTAACAGAGACGTATGTCACATTTATACGTCTCAGTATTACTAAGACAAAGAGAGGTTTTTACCTCACGGACAAAGTTAAACGAGTTTTCCTAGTTCGAATTAATGAAATTCGGTTGTATTATGTAAAATGCATTAGTCCCACACTTGCATGTACTGTAATTGTTAAGTATTCGTTTATACAGACATATAACAGCATCACTAAATATGTTTTCGTTTATACAGACATTTATAAAACGGTATTGAAAATTATGTATTAAAAGGGGTATTTGACTTTTCTTAAGCATTTGTGAACAGAAAATTTATATTATTTTATCAATTACTTACAACTTACGAACGATTTACAATCTGACAATAGAAAAAATATAGGTTATTTTTTTACATGTATCATGATCTGACGATTATAAATATGCATTTTGTAACAAGACGTTTATATGTAGTTTGGTATATAATCTCACGTTTTCTTCAGTTTTGTTGGTATTGTCTATCCCAGTATAATATACGTATATAACAATATCAGAACATCTCATTTTCGTATCGTATTAATGTATATTGCGTAAGTTTCTCAAAATTACTGAAAACCATATACGTATCCAATGCGATTGATGATATATTTGCCCTATTGTGAATGTTCCCATTCTTTATAGTAACATACTTGCCACTTCAATCTATGATATCTGACGTGTCATGACTGCTTAAAAACCACAAGGATTTTTTCCAGCTGCGGAAGACTGTTTACAGTTGATGGGAAACCCTGCAAGGAAGCGTTTCAAGAGATGCACAGGTTGATTAAGATCCCGTTGGGAAATTTTCCTCATTGTGCTACCTAACGAAATATCTACCTGTAGTTTAGTGTTCGTTA